CTGTCCTAAAATTAACCATTTTAAATCCAAAATGAAATACATCAGAACAATGTTATTTTCTTCCCGCTGTGTTAAGGAAGACAGAAATGTTATTGAATTTTTTACACACTTGATTTATTATAGCTTTTGCAAGCAATATATATCACACAATCCACATAATGTGATAGATTCATTCAAAATACTGAATACAGTGTTACCCAACACAATGAGACATTAGCAGTAAGTTTTAGAGAGTCTTGTGTTATTAATTAATTACCAAACAGATGGATTCAACAGCAGTTATAAAACTTTTAATACAGAAATTGAAAAGGGTGCAGTCAGCCTAATGGCAACAAAAATTATTATAAAGCGGTCAGTGATCAATAAGCGCAAAACAAAGACTATATGGAGAGCTTCTTGTTGACAGCATTCACATGTCATGTGCACACAATGATGTGTACTGTGAGTGCATTTCTGCTTTAATCCTCCCCTATCATAAATGGGAACAGCAAACCACAATCCTATCCATGTGTGAGAAATGAGCCATAAGCACCTGTCTAAGCTTACTAACCTTTGATGGGTCAATTCCACATTATAGGATATATCCCAGACTTTATCTAACCACTGTGTGTCAGAAGGGACTTCATTAGCACGCCACTTACTGACCAGGATAGCCTTCATAGCAGTTGACAAATGTACTGCAAGTTATCGTTAATAGTTCTGTTCCCTTGATAGCATAGCATGAAACAACTACAGGCTCCTGCGGGTCCAAATACTACTCTTCCTTGACAGCATATGATTCCTTTGTTTTAAAGAAGACCTTGCATTCTGAAGTATATGTTTCCTTTGGAAATATAAAATCAACACTTAAAACATGTTCAGGGGAATTGTATAAGTGTTTCTCAGCTGAATGAAGACATCCTACAGCAGAATTATATCTACATTATAAAGCAATTACTATTTACTGTACAAAACTCCACTGTGGTACATACAAGAAAAATAAACAATTTCCCTTTTCCATTTTTTTCCCCAGTTGGCAAGAAGTCAATAGCAGGTAGGCTTGCAGAGGCTATGCAAACCAATCTCTGTTTTTTAATATTTTGCCTACTAAAAAAATAAGCCGGAATTTGTGATTTTTTTTCTAGGACCATGCTGCTTTAAGATAGATGATTTGCTAGAATGCAACAATAAAAATAAAATAGCTAACTGTGCTGCCTGGGGTGGGGCTTGCCTGGCTTCACCAGCCTCTGCTAGTGGTAAATCCCCACCAACAAAAGTACACCACAGTTTGCCTGCCCAAGCAGTGCTCAGGCAGAAGCCACATCTGGTGGTATCACCACTGCCCATAGCCTATGAAATCCCCTAAAACAAAGAGGTGAGGAGGTGGGGTTGGGCCAGCATAGGATCTGCTGGATTCTGAGCCAGCCTTGCTGCTGCCACATGATGTCTAATCTGGCAACATGTCCAATGTGACCCTCTTCACCATGGGTGACACCGTTCCATCAAGCCCTGCTGCTGCCAGCCGAGGGGTTGGATTACAGCCTAAGCTCTCATTCCTCAGTGTTGAAACTATGAAGTTATGTGTGAGGATATTTGAATGTGAAAATTTGAAAGAATTAAATGTCTAAGCTGAAAAATGAATTTTGTAGAGTTATGGCACTCAAAGCTGCAGATTTGGATTATCTAATTTAAAACTGTATGAGTGATACAGGATTTAAAAGAAACTGCAAAACATAAAATAAACTCTGAACTGTAAAAGATTTATATACCCATATTTTGTGGCCTAAAGAGGCTTATAAAGAAGAGGGAATAGGATTTCAAAGAAATGCCTTAATCCACTTCCCACTTATTTACCATTGGCCATGCTGGGTAGGGTTGATGGGAGGTGGAGTTGAGTAATATCTTGTGGGTACCATATTGGCTACTGGAGTACAGAAACGTGTACTGCAAAGTTTCCCAAAGTTCCTCATGGTCTTGGCTACTGCAGTGCAGGCTCATGGCAGTAGCAGACACCTAACAGAGGTCCTTCTGTGGGGTCCACTAAATCCCAATGCTTCTGTTTCCAAGAAACCATGTTTGGACATCATGGAACCTCAGTGCCCAGAGTGTGTTATAGATTTTATGCAGCACTTTCAGCAACATAATCTGGTTCCCTCTAATTATTAATAACATGGACATAGGTGTATATATAGTGATCTGCCCAAAACTCCATTTAAAGCTTTACTCCTATCATAATTTTACTGGGAGCATATATGTGTGTCGTCAGGGGCAGTTGTAAGAAGCTGACAGATGTGATGCCATGATTCATGTTTTTCAGCAATCATATTGAGTACACTGAAAACATTACTTGAACAATGAGATTACTGCATGAATCAGGCAGGGGGAGCAAGCTAGCTGTGAGAAAAAACCTGAAGCATATTTCAGCAAACTATGAATTTACATCAAAACTATATTGATGAGATTTTAAATGACATGTCAGCGTTTTTGACAATAGAGGGTATTTAAAAGACATGTCTGCTACCAAACATACATTAAGATTGTTGAGATTTGGTTTGCAAACAAGGTATGCTATTTAGAACCAAGTACTTAGTCTATTGCTGTGTGTGAATGGTAGCTCAGAGTTACTCTAACATACAGGCTAAGATCTGAGCTTTGATCTAAAAAGTCATTGGTTCATAGCTTCCCTGAACGTAGTAGACAACCTTAGGCTTCTCTCATGGGGAAGGACAAACAACTCCCTAATTGTCTTAGCAAGTCCTCAAGATCATGCAAGCATATCTTCACCAGACACCCAAATATCCTCTCTTCTCTTGCCAGTTTTCATGTACACACATGGCCCATACTCCTTCCTGCTATCCCTTCCCCTAGTGTGAAGGTAGAAGGCCATTGATGGCAGGTTGGGGTGTGAGCCCAATGAATAAGAGTCTGCTCATAGAGAAGTGTTCACGTAGTTTGATCTTAATCAAAGGTTATGACATGAGGAATTTCAAAATAATAAACACAGAAACAGTTACATAAGGCCCTTCAGGCCTCTCCAACTGGAACGTAGGGCTTTCCCTAGGCCAGGCATGTCCAACAGGTCAATCGCGATCCACTAGTCAATGGCAGGGTGCCCTGGTTGATCCTGGTCGATCTTCAAACCCTTAATGATATTCCTCCAAAAACAACTCTGGCTTCCTAAAAGAAGCTCAACAACTCTGGTCTATCCTCCAGTGTCAATGGAGGTAGATCACTGCCTGTTTTTTTAATACTGTGAGTAGATCGCTGTCACTTGGGAGTTGGACGTGCCTGCCCTAGGCCATACCCCTCTCTGGTGCTGTTCCACAAGTCCTTTTACCTAACTGGAGTGTGTCCTTGAACTGTGATAATGTTTCTACAGCTGGGTGTAGAAACCTTTGAATTTTGTATGTTTGGAATGTAACCTGCTGTAACAGAGGTGCCATCTTCTCAACATGATTGAGGGGGCCTGACATGATGTCCTAATGTCATGCACGCGATGTCGCGTGACATCCTGACATGGCTTGCATGACATCCTGCAATGTCCTGACATTGCGCAGAGCCAGAGGTTGAAGCTGAATGCCCTCTGAACATTTAGAGGGACGGACCCATTTTAAAAAAAACAACCATTGGGGGAACCAAAAGCGTCTCAGCACTCAGGAGCCGGAGCCAAAACATCACATTTATTTATCTACCCATTTTACTTCAGGCCCCACCCATGTTTGTCTCTGGCCATGGCCACCACAATTATCCATACCTCAAGCTAAAAAAAAAAACCCCATTCCCCACTTCTGAGTGGAATCCAACAAAGTGCTTGAGTGCATTCTACCATGTTAGATCAAGAACATAATCAAACTACTGCTAGTACAAAATTAAACTCAGTTTAGGTATTTCTCAATGTTGCCCACTCCATGCATCTAGTAAACTAGTACATTAAAAAGATTTTGCATAGCCCGCTCATTCATGCCCCAACTTATTACATGCAGAAGTTGGTTATATGGGGGGAACATTCAAAATATGGCCTCCTGCCTGCATGCTAAAGTAATGCATTTGAAAGTTCTGCAATTTCAGTCTGCTATCTCATTCTATGTAATGGTTCTAATATTCACTGTGAACCTCAAAATGCAGAAATAATTTATCCGGCTTTGTTCCTCCAACTTTGTAGAACCACACAAAAAAGAAAAGCCAGTAGAAACAGGTAAATATGCTCATATTTTCAAATCTTTTCTTTCTTTAAACATACTGATAATGCATCTGTTCCAGATATGCAATAACCAACTATTTCTCCTTTTATGTTTGTGTTTCAGCCAAGCTCCCAAAGAAGGATGTGCCTGTCAAAGCAGCTGGTAAGATATGAGGGAAAAGTTATCATAGAACATAATGCTCTCCTATTTTATCTCTAAGCTAAAATTTTAAATTAACTAAATGCTATAAAATTCAGTATGCCATACAACAATTAACTAGTGAATTAAAATGGAGAACTCAGCTAGAAATAATTTGGAGGAGATTGTAACCACCATGTGTTCCCGGTGCTTTTTATGTTAAAAAGTAGAATCTAAATTCCGTGAGCAAACAAATCAGCAAGAGTGTGGATATGTTTTGTTAATTGAAATTAAAAATCAATAAAAATATTTATAAAACTAACTAACTAACTAACTAACTAACCAAAAAGCAAATATCATAACCTGTTGTTCATTGCAATGGATTCCCCCATCACAGTGTTTCCAGCAGGCCACCTTTTTTTTTAAGGCATGTAAATTTCATGCAGACAATGTATACATTGTGGCCCTCAATACTATTAATACACCAGTTTGAAATGGGATGATTTACTGGTGGATCCTTTGGTCGAAGCATCTTTGCTTGAGGTCTTGGGTACGAGAGCTTTGTTTCAGGTGGCCACAGCACATAAGAAGCCGCCATATACCGAGTCAGACCAAATGGTGTATAATTTGGTTCTGTATTGTCTACCAGGACTAGCAGTAATTTTCCAAGGTTTCAGACAGGGCTCTTTTCCCTCTCCTTTGTGGAGATAATAGGAATTGAACCTGGGACTTTCTGCATTCAAGGCATATACTTCTACCACTGAGCTATCCCCCTTCCCCCCTGAGCTGTATATGTGTAGTTTGAACACACTGAAATTCTTTGTTTAATTTTTCAGTGACACATGAAGCTCATAAACCAAAAGGTGAGAGATTAAAATATAAATATATATCCCAAATATATGTACAGTATAATGTTATGGCTTCTTGTAATATCACATGCTTCATTATATTGAGACAGATAATGGGTCCATCTAATCCACTGCTGCTCAACCTGGCAGTGATATCAGGTACAGTGGTACCTCAGGTTAAGAACTAAATTTGTTCTGGAGGTCTGTTCTTAACCTGAAACTGTTCTTAACCTGAGGTACCACTTTAGCTAATGGGGCCTCCCGCTGCCACCGCCGCACGATTTCTGTTCTCATCCTGAAGCAAAGTTCTTAATCCGAGGTACTATTCCTGGGTTAGCAGAGTCCGTAACCTGAAGCGTCTGTAACCTGAAGTGTCTGTAACCCCAGGTACCATTGTATTAGGAAAAGGGTTTCCCCAGCCTTGCTACCAGTGCTCCTTTTTAATAAGTGGTGGTGTCAGCTACTTCAAGCATTGTCCTTTTCCTTAAAGCATATTCATTTTCCTTAAAGTGGAGATGGCACGAGCTTTTTTGCTCCACAACCCAGATCCCCATGGTGCTGCTAAAATGAATGTTTTCCTCACCACCACCTTCATTTTAGCAGGGGATTCTGATGCAAACCCTTTCCTGAACCAGTAAAGGATTTGCATTGAAAGCTCTGCTAGAACTGAAGGGAAACCTTTGTTGCAGCAACTCGAAGCTGTTGCTTTTTATTGATTTATTTTCTCCATTTACACAGCTGCCCCTAACAAGAGTGTTTTGGATAAATCCTAGAGGTCCATTAAATGTTCACAATGTTTTTTTCTGTTTCATTTCACAGTGACCACAGAAGTTCATAAGCCAAAAGGTCAGTACTGTTTACATTTTACAGTAAAATTAAATTTATACAATATATAGTGTTTGGACTGAGTCCATGGCCAAGCTGAACATAGGATGGGTTTGTGGAAGGACCTCCATGCAATTTAATAATCTTGGGAGCTGGGTGTAAAGTGTCATGTGGGAACCTTAATCCATGCTCCAGCAGATGAATCAGTAGCAGACTAGATAGCAGGGTATGGGCGGTAGAGAAGCAAGGATAAGATGGCGATGAGGTCAGCACAGTACAAAGAGTTAACTCAACTCTTTGTGATTTACTGCTGCCTCGCTCCCTTCAACCAGTATGGGGTGCACCTGGGTCCTGGCTTTACTCCCTAGCATGGCCAGGTAAAGCTGATTGAAACCCTGAACAACCATGGCCAACCATTGTAGTCGTTCATGAACCAGTGAGCCTGCGGTCTCATTCAGCATAAGCCAGCTTCCTATGTTATTAGAGTTTTATACCAGCATTTATAAAGGTAAGATAGGGAGCTGACTTTTCCATGATTCATTTTGCAACTGTGCAAGGCTTCATTCTTCCTGCAGATTTATTGGAAGGCAAAAAAAAGTAACAACAGTTTTATAACATTTATTAGAAAGGTAGATTAGATCAATATCAAGATAATGTCAGTTGCTTTCAAATAAGCAGCAGCGTTTTCAGTGCTTTGAGAAAGCTTGCATGAGCCACTCTTCCTGAGACTGGAAGTGTTACAAAAGCCTTATCTTTGTTTTGCAGCAGTACATGAAAAGAAAGAAGATAGGCCGTTGAAGGTGGTAGAGAAAGGTAAGGAGAAACTCAGTGAAACTGATGTTATCTAAGGAGAGCGCCATAGCGATTAAAAATAAAATCACATTCAAAAAGTGGACCATCTTGATTTTGTCTCTCTAGCTATTAGTATTCTTTCTTGACAGATAATTCTGGATCAAGTTTCTGATGAAATTCAGTTTCTGTGTCACTAATCATATTTCTGCAGTGACTGGAATTAACCCATTCAGTCATCTTCAGTTTTGTGGTGGCCTTGTGTCCTACCTCACAGAAGACAGTCCTCTGTTTGATGGGTGCCTAAATCCACATTATTATTATTATTATTATTATTATTAATACCCCACCCATCCAACTGAGTTTCCCCAGCCACTCTGGGTGACTCCCAACAGAATATTAAAACAGGATGAAACATCAAACGTTCAAAACTTCCCTAAACAGGGCTGCCTTCAGATGTCTTCTGAAAGTCAGATAGTTGTTTATTTCCTTGATGTCTGATGGGAGGGTGTTCCACAGGGTGGGCGCCACTACTGAGAAGCGGACACAGGGATCATTAAAGAGCCTCACCAGCAGTTGGCACAGCAGGCTAAGCAGCCACACTATGCAGTCTTCCCCACTATGAAACTGCTAATGAAACGACCATTATGTACTGGTAATTATTTCTAAATGTGCATCTATACATATAAATCAGCATTTCTAAATTTTATACAAACCTGTGGGTGCTGTTGTCCACATTTTTGTTCATGGAGAAGTGGCCATACTATTTACCTGTGACATGGTCCACATTTCTGGCCCTAGTTATTTTAACTGATCTGATTTGTAGAATTAATTTTCTGAACGATTCAGCTGCAAATGTTTGTTGAAGCAGGTCACAAGTCCCAATTTATATCCAGACAAGTTCAGTGGGGGGCGGACTGTGTTTGCCTCAAAAGGGGACCATCTGCATTCAAGCAGAGCAGGGCTCTCGCCTTGTTTAGCGTCTCTGATTCGAATAATTGTCCCATCCATAATGGTGACCTTTTCCTTTCAACATTGGTTATGTGAAATGAACCACCAATAACAGAAATAAAATATTATGTGAAAAATATTTGGTCTTTCATTTCATCCAAGAGAAATGCCATTGGGTAACGTTAGAAATCCATCAGAGTCAACTTGTCATCGTTTCAGTCCAATGATGATTCTTAGGGCTGACACTTCGTTAAGGAATTAGTCAGATCTGATTGAAGGAAATAGGAGCTCAAGAGCTTTTGCTATGTGCTGGTGAGCAAGGAAACAGTATGAAGCAACTAAATTATTCTGCAAATGCTACATTTCTAAACAGATTATTCTTAACCCTAAACTAACAATAAATTATATGCCTTAGTAACTTTAAAGGAATTGAGGGATTGTTACTTTTTTTCCTTTTTGCAGAGAAACCAAAACCAAAAGAATCAAGTAAGCCATATGACATTGTCTATGACTCTTGTACATCACTTATGCAATAACATTTCTTGTATATACTATTTGTTCACATTTTCTACCTTTTAAGAAACAGCAAGATCAACGCAAACACATTCTTTGAACAAACCACAGAATAACACAGGATTATTATTATTTTTTAAAACCCTTTTGGTTCAACAAATGTTTTAGCTTGAACATTACCGAAACAAGAAATAAGGTGTGAATTGGAGCACAACAAGTAAATGCAGTATGCCTTGCAAGAAGCATAGTTATACATAACACAATTGCTCACTTTGCTAACCCACAACACAAAAAGCATGTATTATGAGGTAAATTCAACAATATTTCAAAAGTGCAGTGTGATAGTTGTAATTGTGATTTTTAATCATCATCATCATCACAATTAGAAAAACCACATTGCACTAATTTTCTTCTATAGATTTCCTGTTTGGTATGGGGGAGGCGGTCTATATGCCAAAAAGTAAGGATGTTGCAGCTTGCCAGATGGAACTCTTACCCCTCTCCTCCCCCTGCATGATGTTCTGGGAATTCTCTCAACCCCATTGAACCAATTTCAGGGGTGAGGAGGGCACGGAGGGAGGAGAAAGGGGAACCCCATTGTGCAAGCAGAAGGCCTTGCACAGGGTTTGTGGGGACAAGGCTTGTTAGGTGAATCTCACCTAGTATGTTCAGATAGACAGATAGATACGAGTCAAAATATAAAACACCGTATAAAGGAGCATATAAATAAACATATATCTATATCCTGTCCTGCAGGAGGAGCAAACTTCAGATAATTAGATTTTTATTTTCCATAAAAGTAATGAGGGGAGTGATGTTCCATGTGTGATAATTAAATGCAGTGCTTTTTTTCTAAAAAAAAAAAATGTTTAGGGGTACTCTAGTTTTCCTATTCATATTGAAATACTGCCCCTCAATGAGGCTAAACTTAGATTCACAAAATATTTAGGGGTATGCGTCCCCCCAGAAAACAGCACTGATTAAATGTATCTTCTATTTTATCTTGTCCTAAAAAGATTTACCTAATTTACAATTATTTCAGTGGTGCTTGCTTCCAAGAAAATGTGCTTAGATTTGTGCCTAAATCCTAGTACTTCAATTTTAAGTGAAATATAGTTCAAATTGTTAGCTTCAGCAAGGTTTGCTGGCAATATATGTAGTCTGATGTAATCAAGCAAAGACTAAAAAAAAATATGCAAAAAGTAAGTCATATATTTCATTACTGAAATAAACTCTTTTTGAGCTAGCCATAATCACTTATTTCCAGTTCCTCAGCCACATTTGTATTGCACATGTAAGACAGCATCACAAATGCTAAATTACCACTGCAGACAACATTAGCTTCTGAAATATTTCCGGCATGATTTTCTGGTTTATCAGATCACTTGGGATTTAAGGCAACATCAGTAGTGAGTCAGACTCCAAAAGTGTTTGATCTCCTAAAATCAAGTAATCAGCATGACTTTTTTGAAATAATTGCCATAAAGCTCTTCCTAGTAATGGCAGTGCATATTTCCTGTTGGTGGTTATAAGAAAATTTCTGAATCGATAAGCTAAGTTAGTCCATGATTTTAAATATTGCAGTTTCCAGAAATAAATTGGGAAGCTCTACTTAAATGTTATTATTCATGAGGACAGAAGAAAAATAATAAAACCCTCAGCACAAACTAGCTCATTTTGAAATCTTGGAAGAGGATGTGTTTAGGATCAGTGTGCATGGTATATGAGAGCAGAAGGTTTTTTACATCAAGGAAAATCATATGAATAATTTTTAAAAAAAAATACAATCAAAGTTTAGATGTACCACCTTTGCTAATGGTCACAACCCAATATTAAGTAGGCTCTC